AAAGGGGTGTAAAGGAAACATGATTGCCTATTTATATAATGATTTAATAAGTTAAATGAATTTTTAATAGATGGTTATCAATAGAAATTGGTTTATTTCTGAACTGTAGTAGTTACTATCACTTTATCTACTAATTTTAGTAATTATAAATTTATAAATATTCCCTTGCTTATAGCTTTCTTTGAATGTTCTTTTCTTTACAGAGAACGCTGTGATAAAATTCCCGAAATCTATCAAAATATCCACGAATCCATGTATCAACTGGTGCAACATATGTCCATACTTGGCCTGCAATATCAGAGTATAGCAAGTCGGAAGTGTGCAGAATATATACTATCGATGGGAGATCAAGCACCAGAATATATGAATGAGGTGAGTTTTGGAATCTAATAAGGAAAAAAGAGTAGTAAAAATTTTTGGTCAGTATTTGAAGAGCTGAGTTGGTCATAAGCATAGGTACCAATTCTTTTTTTAGTTTTCTATATACTTTCTATATGTAGAAGGACACGGGGTGTAAGCTGCCTTTGTCCAACACAGCGCTACAGTTATTGAACTGGAACGTTCGTTTTTGTCTATATGTATAAAGATTTCTTATAATAATCATGATAAGATGGTGCTTTTTTTCGTTAAAAAATTAACTCCTTTGAGGTCTTTGTTGATCTGGGGTTTCAGCATGGAAAATTATCCTATATGTCCACCTGTCCACATATCTCGTGGCTTGCTGCTACGCTATTCCCGCTACTGCCTTGAGGTTCCTTCCTTTCCCGCAAAATTTTTACGGCATTCTTGATAGCTGATATGGGCCGGGGCTGCCTCTGTCTTCCGGAGGGGCGACCGCTAGTTATTAGAAAAACACGTTTTTGTTTCTTTATTTTTGATGTTGGTTGGAAAGTCGGCACGAACCCAGGCCCCGGCGGAATGGTAGCGCGCACTGCTAGCCACTACACCACAGCCGCCGCAGAGATCCGAGTTCGAAACCCCGGCCAGTGAATTTTTTATCATAATTTTTTCATTTGTAATTAAATTTTCATTTAATTATTAGATTTGATTTTCTCAAAAAAAAAAAAAAACAAAACGTATATTTTTTTAAATGCGCTGTTTTCATTTTATTATTTTCCCTTTTTCGATTTATTTCTTTATATAAGTTAATACTAGTTTGAAAGAAGAAAATATATTTTTTAATTTGATTTGATCTTCAGAAACTTCTTATATTTTTTAAGATTTTATTGTTTAAAAATATATATATATATTTTTTTTTTAAATTTTATTTAGTTGTGAGAAGCGTTTTTTTTTTGTTTTAAGGATTCTAGAATTTTTAGAAAAGCATTTAATTTTTTTCTGATTTTTAATTAAATATTTTCTAATTTTTCCAATTTAGTTTTCTTTTTAGTTTTAGCTTTTATTGTTTCAAAAAGAAAAATAAGTATGTAGGTATATATATTTTGTTTAAATTTTGTTTAGTATTTAGAATCAAATTTTTTTAGTTTTATTTTTATCGCAATTTTTTAATTTTATTTTTAAAATAACTTTTATTAAATTTTTAAGCACTATTTTCGTACTCATTAATTTAGTTTCTCTCTAATTTAATTTTTTCAATTTTAGATTTTATTCTTAAGAAAAATTCAATTTCATTTTACTTTTAAATTTTTTTTTTATTTTCTTTCGTTTTATTATTAATTTCTATTTAAATTTAATTTTGGCTTATCTATAAGTTCTTAAGGTTTTAAAAAGAAAGATATGAATATATTTATAAATTTAGTTTCATTTAAAAAAATTTTATCGCTAAAATGCGAACAGCATAACGCTAAGATCGCTCGTTAGCAGATCTTTCAATTAATCTTTCGAAAGGCAGTAAAGAGCTTTCAAGATAGTAGATAGAATTAACGATTTTCTTACGAAAGACAGTGGTGAGTTGAAAGACAGTTGCCAGAAGTGCTATGTTATTTTGATCGATACTTTTTACTGCAGATTTTGCACGAACGTACCTAATATGAGGATATTTTACATTTTGCACTAGCGATTGGATAGGTTTGCGTATCTGAAGGCATTTCATTTATCTTATTTAATTTTAGTTTTATTTTATTTTATATTTTTTCGATTAGTTTTATTTTTTGTGTTTTTTTTTTTTTTAAACGTAAATTATTTATGTACGTCAAATTTTATCGTAAGTGGCCACTTAAGGTTTAAGATTTTGTTTGATGGCCAGAGCAAACATAAACACTTTGCTATCTGCTTACTGATTACGTCTTGCAAATTTAATTGCGATTCCATTAAAATTTTCCGAAATGTGTTGTCGAAAGAAAACTTATTCATTTTATAGTACTCTTAGATCGAGTTTTTGGTTCACTAGCAGTTAGACCAAGGTGGGGTGCATAGAGAGAAGAACTTGAAATTTAAAGACTTGGTTGGCAAAAGACAAAAATATTAAAAAAAGCTATTTATTTTTCAGTCTCAGAGCGTATGTATGTATACATATGTAGTACATACTTGTTATGTTTATTGAAAAAATTTTCAGTGTTGAGTAATTTCTTTTACGATTCCCCCCAAAAAAACAGGACATTTAATAAATCTGTTTCCAATGAAAAATTCATATCCACATCTTACATAAATAGTCCAAAAAAATTGCTTAATTACTCAGCAAATTGCAAATATTAACTTTCAACAAAGTTACATTTGTATGATTCATGCAGGAGAGCTCTGCAGTGCCCACACGTATCACCCTGCTGATATTAGATAAGCTTATCATGGCACACATGCATGCACCGAAGATGATTTTTTCAAGTGAATAGTTTATTTACTGCAGTTCATTTAATATTCAGGCATTAACTAAAACTTACTTAGAGATATTTTTTTTTATGGGGAAGTAAATATAAATAAAACTTTAGTTGGCGGCTGCATAGAAGTTATGTGACTTCCACTTATTACTACTACTCATATATCATTGACTCAGTCAAATATATTTATATACATATTTATATGTATTAAAATTTTATCTTTTCATATTGCAGGAATATTGCGATCACATTGTCACCTTGTGGAATGATGTGGGCATACGGACGTGTTTCGATCGTTCTAATGAGTTTCCATTGTTGGATAGCACGAAATAGTAAGTATTCCATTATTATTTAATATGGTTTCAATAATTCTTGATAATTGGCGACAAAGTAAAAAAATACATACACATTTTGGGAAATTTATGGCATGCATATAATTTTTGGTGTAATATGAAAACGGGACATAATTTTATGGCAGTTTAAAAAATGAATATAATTGTTTGGTAGTTTAAAAACTGGACACACATTTTTGTTCATATACAAAATGGAAATAATTTCTTTGGAGAAAACTGGACAGCAATTGAAAACTCGACATAAAATTTTGGTAATATAAAAACTGGACATCAATTTTTAATCGTTCAAGAAGTGAATTTTTTTGGTGATATAAAACCTGGGTTGCTATTTTTGGCAATTAAAAACTCGACATAAATTTTTGGTAATTTAAAAACTATACATACATTTTCAATAGTTCAAAAAGTGGTCATACATTTTTGGCCTTTCCGAATCTGGACATGAATTTGTGGTCATCTAAAAATTGAACATAAAATATAAGTCATTTAAGAATGGGCAATACTTTTTTCGATAAATTAAAACTTGGCCATAAATTTTTGGCATTTTTGAAAAACGGAACGTAAATTTCTAATTATTTAAAAATTGGAAATAAGTTTTGGGTTATTAACAATTAAGAATTAAGCATCCTTTTTTATAATTTAAAACTTGAACAATTTTGTTATAAGCTGCAACCAAAGTTTCGGTAATTTACAAACGGAACTTATTTTTTGGCGATTTTAAAAGTAAGAAT